TCAGTTTCGGTTTTGCTGCGTACCATCCTCCCTACATATAAAACTTACCAAGTTTCGGAAGAGCTAGAACTTCTTCTGAAACAGGCACAGAACAACGCTTGCCCTAATACAAATCTGAGTGCAAAAGACATCCAGGCGCTGCGGTTTCTTGCAGACCTCCTTTCTCGTCGGGGCGGCCAAATATTTGTCTCCGGACCGGTGTACGCTAGTCTTCCATCTGCCAACAGTGCCATTGCTGAGGCCTTTCCCCGCAACCAAGCAGTCAAGATCATTCTTCAGGCTATATTTGCTCTCGTCTTTTATTGCTATTCACTGCTGGGAGCGTTGTCGATGTCGATGTCGAGCACAAAGACTCACCCAGCAGAAGAGCATTGGAAACAGATGGAGACCAATGAAACTAGCCTTTGCGAGGGTTACATATTCAGTACCAATGACAAGGTGATTGACCGGCCAAAGTTAGAGGACCTCATACGAAAAAGGAGAAGCAGACCCGGAGCACACGTACTGGTCTGCAACTGAGCGAACTGTGCTTTGATCTGGCACACGCTGCAAGGATTGAAACATTTGAAAATGAACTTTTGCAGGTCTAATTCTTGTTTTTCATGGAATGCATGAAGCGAGGAATCCATCGAGACTTCCTGTCCTTGGGCCCAGCTGGCGCAGTTTGATGGAGATTCCTGGCAGCAGAAGTAGATGAGAGCACCTCGGAATAGATAGATTTTCGAGAAACAGGCGCGTCATTTCTGACCGAATGGGCCTCGGCTGTAGCATGGACGCTGGTGGTGGAGATGAGCTCGGATAATACCGAGTTTCTATTGGCAACGGAAACATCCTCGGTCATAACCGCGGTTCTACTCTGGTCCCTGAACATTGCAGGAGTTGGAGTTTTGGTAGCAATGGCCACCAACTCATCTGGAGCAAGTGCAGGGGTCTTGGTTTTCGTCCTTTTCGTCCTATTGCTCGTGCCGTCGACTGTTTGGTGCCACTCTTGCAAGGTATCTAATGGTACCCCCAGGCGGGTAGCAATGGGCATGAGTTCTTGATGGGTAGGCGGTGAGGTTTGGCCATAAATAGCTTGATTTGACTTTTGTAACACAGGGCGAGGAACCTCTAGAGGGTGACAAGAGATGCAAGTTCCAAAGTAGGAGTGGGTGTTGGTGAGTGGGAAGCGCAGCTTACCGTTTAGCAACATTCTGTGTGTCTTGGCAATACCGCAGGCGTCACAACGCTGGTATCGAGCTTGCTTTTTATGAGTGTGCATTTGCTTCTTGACCATTTTGGCAAGCTTGCTTTGTGGCGGTTTCGTTGCGACTGTGCTGGATCTCACAACTTCAGGGTCGCGCAGTATCTTCGTGCTGTTTTCGCTAGTCGCCATGTTGGTACATGTAGGAACACGAAGACTAATGTCCGCGAGAGCATTGGTTTTTCGGTTGGTGTTGGCCTCCTCTCCTTCGACGCTGCAAGCTTCCTGATCACCTCCATTTCGGCTGCCGCTACCAACGCTACTAGCAGAGCCATTCCCGCTACTGCCGGTGCCTGATCCATTCAACAGGATGCTGTCCCCCGTCACTTCGTACGGGAATAGCATTGGTCGGAACAAGTGCCATGGGTATCCGACAGAAACGTCTTCGAATTCCTCAGCTACGTCCTCATCAGTCATTTTCGTTGATGATACGCCGTCTGCTGCGAGCACCATGTCATCGATATCTTTGTTGCTGCTGCTCGATTCACCTTGCTATGCCAAGCTCCCCATCTTTGATGTCGCTGCGGCATGCAGTTGTTGGCTTTCAGGTTCTTGCGCAGTCTTGGTGGTCTCATCGATTCCCATACGCCTGCATGCCAAGCAACTTGGCCGTGGATACTGGTAACATCGTGGAAATGAAGATTCATCCTTCTCATTGTTGCAGATGAGTGGTCTAGTAGCATGGGTGCCGATGCGTCCCTCCGAGTTCCGGTTTAGTACTGGTACAACAGTGAAGCAAGCGTTGTCGAAGATTTGGTTGCGGGGAGTCACCTGGACGTCTTTTGAGCATGGCCAATCAAGTCAACAACGAGTATTCCCCCGTCGCTTCGTCGTCACCGTCACCATCGGACGAAACCGACTGGTAGTTGATTGCCGATCAAGTCAATAAAGGAGGTTGTGGGTCCGCATCTGAGCCAGGAGTGTCTGCAATACGATGAGACAATCAGTGGCATGAGTGCACGAAGCAACCGCAGTGTTGTACGAGTCGAGACTGCCAGTCATGATCACGCAGCAACCATCAATGGTGGACCTGCAGGATGCAGAAGCGTCTCCTAGAGCAATGCTGAGACTGCGGACGATTCGCAGTCTGATCGCTTCTAGCTAGCTCTAGCAGGGCGACGTAATCGTCTTGGCTTTTCAGTAGCAGTTGCATAGCATTGTGTTGCTCTGAAGCAGCCAGCCACGGTCCAGCTTGAACCACCAGCATTGTAGGAAGCAAGTTCCTACGGGAGGCATGAAGCAATTGCTACCGGTAGCTAGCAAGCGTGCAAGTTCGACAAGAGTAGCCCAAGCTCTCTGAGGCCCCATCGATCCGTAACTTTACTCTTTGCAGCCAGCCGTGCATGGAAGAGTAAAGGGAAAGGGACCAACGAAGGCAGCGATCTTCCTATGGAACCCCTAACAAAGGAACACCATCGTGGAAACGATCTCGTTGGCTCTCAGATCTTCCCAGCCCGCCCACTCTGCTCCAGCAATCGGACATTCAAAGACACGAAAGACTGGCTGAACCATTAATTTGCGTGCATCTTCAAGGTTCGCACGATACGTACTAGTAGTCTACCGTATGTTTCCAAGCCAACAAGTAAGTAAGTTCGTTTCTGGGGAGTGAGGCAAGTCGGTTCCCGTATCAACACGCACGCACGGTTCCCATGAAGCTAGCTAGCTAGCTATTTAGAAGACTGCCCCATAGAGTTTGATCGTACGGTAGCTAGTTTGCTTGATGGCCGGAACATTCCTCGGGAATAGCAACAGTGTTCCCATACCGGTAGCTACCGGTAGATCTATCAAATGCTGGCTAGAGACACCAATTAATTGATGTTGCTGCTTTGCATGTACTTGCGGTACTAGCCAGACTAGTAGCCAAGTTCCAGTGTACTAATAATTCCCTGTTGTTCGGGTTCCGTATGGTTGTTATTACGGAACCTGTGCCGCGCTCTGATGTTTGACTTGGCTTCCGTGCTCAAACCATTGAATCATTCGGTTGGTTGCCACCAAGCTAGTTACCAACCATTAGCTCGATCGATGATAGCCCACGGATTGGACTACGTTCGACCGATACGGTAGCTGGCTAGGTACAAAAGTAAAGATTACCGTGTAAGATAAATGTAGTTCACAACTAGTAGTTATGTATGTATGTAATAAGAATGCAATTAATAATTTCACTTTTGTTGGTCTTTTGATCCCACCCTGGCACTTGCCGCCGCCGCCGATCGTTTGTCCACCCATGTGGCTGTGGTGGCAGTGCCGTAGTAGTACATTTACAAAACAAAAAAGCCAGAGACCCTCACCCCTCTCCTCCTTGGCCGCCGTCGTCGTTTACGCTCGTTGTTGTTGTTGATGCTGTAGGTAAGCCTGTTTGATCTGCTCCGATGTCAATCCTTTCAGAGCACCCGAATCGTCAAGATTGAGAATGACATTGTAGCTTCCTCTTCCGTACTTGTTGACGCCCTTGAGGATGGCCGCCATTTGTGCCTTGCCAATGCCATTGTTGGAGTCGTCGTCGTCGGATGTGAAAGCGAACTTGCGCTTCTTCTTGTCAGGATACTGCAGCATATCGTCATCATTGACGTCCACTTCTTCATCATCGTCACTATCTTCTCCAATATCGGAAACGTTTTCCATGGGAAGTCCTCCACAACTGGAGAGACGTCTCAGGAGCGCATCTTCTTCCGCTTCTGCTTGTCGCTTCCTAGGAGAACTGCTGTTTCCAATATCCCCATATCCTAGTTTGACCAGAGTGGGTTCTTCTAGGACATGATTGTGCCATTGCTGCAAGAGAGAGCGTGTGGCAGCTTGTGCAGTGGCATGAGAGTAGGGTCCATTTCCCTGCAACAACGTTTGGACATGAGCAATGAGTCTATTGGCGAGTGCTTGATGCTGATTGTTGTTTTTCTTGTATAGATCCTTGAGTAGGAATCCCACCAAATCCCCTGGCAGAGAGCGGATATCATGAGAGGAAACGGATCGGACAGACATGTCATCGGAAGTGTGGTTGTTGTTATTGTTGCTGGTAGTAGTGCTGTTGTTGGAAGTGAATAGATGATTGATGTGTTTTTCATAGTTTGCAATGGCAGCTCTGACCTTGAGATTTGTGTTTGCAGACTTTTTTGCCATTTGTAGAGAATGATTGAACATCTGAAGTTGCACTTGTACTTGGAGGAGCCTTAGAACACGCCTGTAGAATGTCTGAAAGAGGGTGTGATTCTCTACTTTCAAGTTCGGCATGGCATTGACTTGATTGGGTCTTTCTTGATTGGGAGTCAAAACAACATCTTGATTGGCATCTTGTCTGACCAGCAGAGACTTCATGAGAATCAACTCTTCCTTGATGGAGTTCCACTGTTCCATGGTGGATTCACTACTACTGGTATCATCATCCTGTAGTTCCAGCAGAGCCACATCTAGACTGAGTGAAGCCAATTGGAGTCGATTGAAGAATCTGCCAAAGGAGGGTTTGCTGGGATTACTGCTGGTAGATGGGGTACTAGTGCTGGTAGATGGGGTAGTAGCAGCCATGTCATGGTTGGATCCAAAGAGGTTCTCCAGAGCCTTGATGGACTCGTCCGAGTAATCCCTGATAGGGTTAGGGATACTTGTGGAGTTGAGGTTAGAGTTGGGGTTAACTTCAGTGGAAACGATTTTGTGGCACCACCACTCGCAAAAGTCGATCAGACATCTTTGGCTGTCTTCACTACTAGAGCTACCGTTAGTGTTACTAGTGCTAGTAGTAACACCCGTACCAGTAGTAGTACTAGTAACACCAGCAGTAGTAACTCCCGTAGCAGCGTACGTAGAAGTCATGTCTTGGGTAAGGCTGCGCTCGTTGGCTCTGCGGCGAGGCAGCGTAGGAATCGTACTATTGTTGGTAGTAGTAGTAGTAGTAGCGCGCTCTGGATCTGGAAGTCTCATTGTCATCTTGCTCTTCTTGCTATTTTCTATTTGTGGAGTTTCTCGTTGACTTGACTTGATTTGACTTGACCGACTTGAGTTGTTAGATAAATTTTTTGAATTGATTTTGTGAAGCTGTAAGTGAAGGGTGAAGGTGATCGATTGCTTTGCTACTACATGTAAAGTAGCTTGGCTCACTCACTCATTATTTATTCAATTTTGTTTCCCGTGCTGTTTCTGCTCGTAGAAATCCTACCACATGAACGGAGCGAACGGCTTAAAACTCCCTCCACTCATTCAAAACTGGCGATACCAGTAGCTAAATAAATCTATTCCACTCACTTTTGAAGCGCTAACTTGTCGCGCCTCAAATCACTACTTAACGAACATTGCGCATTTCTATCACCAGGGGGGTGCCTCAAACCAACCGGTTTTGCCTCTTCCTTTCTTACCCCACCTTTCTGACAGTTTGGCGATTAGGTACCGTCTCCAACCAAGTTTAGCCATTTTCAACCGCTTTTGACCGCCTCCGACCGCCTTCAACCGTCTGTTTTACCGCTTTCTTACCGCCTTTTTACCGCCTGTTTACCGCTTGTTCACCATTTTACCGCCTTTATTAGCCTTAACCACTCCTTACCGCCTTTGACCACTGTTCACCACCTATTCTAATCAAATGGGTACCACATCCAGGTGGTTGGGGATATATTCAGACAAACAAGATTGATTTGAGGCACCCCCCAGTTCATGTCTGTGCATCAGTTGATATTTCACCATGCTTACACCGTAACAGAAGTGTTCCAGTGCGCTAGATCCCGGAAAGCGACGGTGCAGTCAATAGTCGTTTACTATTACTTTAGTATACACCTCTTCATAGATACTGCATGGGTGACGATGAGAATGCATGTGCTTCGCTTACGTTTGGAAGTTGTACAACCATCCAATCAAACGCTCACCTTCCGAACAACATGCAAGAACGTAACACGCAGCAAAGATCCTTCCGTGCAAATGACAATCCCACCAGCCCACCAGTATGACATACTAATAGCTAATATATATGCATAGTACTGTATTCGGATGGTTACATGGTTACCCTTGAATAACGACTATGAAAACTGTCAGTGCGACGTTGATGGGAGGGGCACATGTAGCATTGGTCCAGTCTACGCATGGTTTCAACTCGCCAAATTTGGACCTGCCTGCTGACCTGCCGGAACGAAACTGGAGTAAATAGAATTCTATTTTAAGGCTACTCTGAGTACGACTATCCACCGTGCCGCTACCCTAAACCGATAACCCCCACAAACATTGGGGCGGAGAGAGTTGGCCCCCTCAGCCGGGAAAGTTTAAAACCCAACCGAGGCAAGATATTAAGGGGAAGGTCACCAACCGGACCCGCCCCAGCTGCTGCTGTCATCAGCACTTCTACTAGCTGCACTATTGCTGATAGTGTCAACACTGCTGTCATCTAAATCAAGGTCAGACCCGAAAGCCTGATCCAAAGTTGCTGCTGCCTCATGGAAGGCTGCGGCCAGTTGTTGCTGCTCTCTACTTGCTTTGTCCACCACTGGCATCCAATTTGAAAGCCAGGCTTTGATATCGGATGGTGCCATTTCCATTTGGTCCTCTAGTGGCCTTTTGAAAATGGAGTTGACAAGAGACAGTGGCACCTGGTCTGCCTGCTCATACAGAAGCTCTACTTCCCGTTGAAGCTGTTGCTGCTTCTTGATCCACCACTGCTGTTTATCACGTCCATGCCTGGCTGCATTGCGGACCTGCCGGAACGAAACTGACTGACTTTGCATGATCTCTTCAGGCGACGACATTGGAGTTCGCTGGAAATGCAGACGGGACTTGCTTGGATGCAACCATAGGCTACATGTATGTAACCATTCAAGCAAGCGAGTGATTGGTGCTTGTGGGACTGTGGGACTGTCACAGGTTTCAGATGATGGATGATGAGAGATAGCTGATGTTGGTGGATCTCGCCACGAGCTACAGTCGTACCGTACTATTCGTACCACGGCTGCAAGACTGCTGCAAACGTATCGTACAGCACAACACGATCGTGTGACCGTGTCGGTTCGATTCATTGGGATTTCTATTGAATTGGCTACCGGTACATACCCCCACTGTGCATCCCCACGAGCCAGTTGCCAGGCAGCAACTGAGGTGATGTACCCAGCTACCAATAGCAACCGTGAAGAACCTAGCCACAACCTCAGGTGGGAGGTGGGAGCGAGTCAGTTCATGATTGCTCTGGCTGGGTTGCATTCTTGGCTGCGTGTTACGTGGTGGCTGATGCACTATCAAATAGTGTCCTTTGTCGCTTGTCGCTTGCTCCAAAGCAAAGCCTCTCGATCAAAATAACCTGCGGGAGGTGACTAGTCTAACTACTACCGGTACCGGTACCTGGTACAAGGTAGTCACTTCTTTACCTCATTCTTGCATTTACAGTGGTTCAGCGTTCAGCCAAGCAGAACTCTTGCTTGGCTGACTAGCTAGCTAGCTACTCTAGACTCAGTCATTTGACTCCATCTATATCATCGAGTACTAGTACCTGTCTGTAAGTGATGGTCCATGCTGCCAAAGCTGTGCATCCACAGCCATGAGGTCTCTTTCCATGGCTTGCAACACTGCCGGGGCGCCCAGCGTAGCTCGTACCGTAGCGTGGGAATTGAGATCTCCCTTTTACGTAAATCGAAAATGTAAGCCTCTTTTTCAAATTTTATTCTTTCTTGGTCAAGTATTTGACAGAAATTGACCGTTTCTAGAGTCGAGAAAGCAAAATTTTGCGATTCGCACCGACCCGCATGTGTTTTACCGCGGTGGGCACATTTTTGGCACATCGGGGCTTACCTGGTACCGGTGCCAAAATGAGCCGATCATATCAAGACGGTCAGCCAGTTTGTTTCATGAAACGACAGAGTCAAGTCAAAACAAAACAGTATGTCATTGCAGCAGATTGCAGTACGCAACGAGCGAGCAACAACGTTTGATAGGCAGCGAAAGCACACAGCTGGATGGACGGATGGTGCATTGTTCGCACAAGGACGCCTGTCCCGAGGAGCGAGTGCTGGAAATGGAACGGCATTGACTATAGCTACTGCACAGTGTAAGGTTTTCGTATATCCTGTGTATCTGTGTATCGATTCAAAGCAGTTGAATCCACGATACCGGTACGCACTAGTACGGTACCAGTAAAGCAAGATAACCCGAACGGTTGCTCGCTACTGTATCATAGTTCCATAGCTATGCATAATATATGACATGCACTTCTCTATGCATTGCTATTACTAGCATCCGATCCACATGCATACAAGCTAAGACCCCACCGGCCCTCGGCGTGTCGCAGGCGTTCAACTGAAAGGTTGGACAGCTAGGATTTTCGTGCAACCAGAGAAACCTCTCTACGTCTGGTTGGGTATGGACACTTTTCAAGTGTTTCAGGGTGCCCTTGGTGGAAACCATACGCATCAAGAATGGGATGTTTCGCCTGTGGCAAAAGGGATGCCACCTACATTGAAGAATTCCCGCCGACTACGGAAAGCCCAAAGAGATTTTGCACGGGATGTGCGGATGTATGTTGCCTTTCTGCTGCTTTATCTATCTGTTGGTTCAGCTGCCTCCTCGGGTACCCTATTGTCACGTATCCTAACTCAACTTGTCCGCTTCATTTTTGAACCTGAATACAGAGAGACCGTTGCGTGCCCACGAGACGGTGCAAGTTCATTGACCAAGAGGGAGTCCAGTGTAGAGGTTGGTACACAAGCGGCGGATACTGCAAAAAGCATGGAGGAACTACAAGAGGGGATTGTCCCGATTGTGGCAAGAGAGGCTCGTTCACCAAGCATGCCTTTTCCCTAGACGGTTTGGACCCAGCGGTCAAGCTTTGCGGAGACGACAGCCGTAACATTCCGGGAATGGCCAGCGATGAGCCCTTTGTTGTGGTTGATGCACCCGAAGTTCAAAGCTCTTGGAAACGATACCTGACGGTTCAGTGTTTGTGCAACCAGCAGATGAATGAAGAGGTCTGGAAAAAGCTTCAAAACACGTTCATGGCACACTATCTGCCCAGGTACACGGAATGTGTCGTCAAGAATGGGGAGCTCTTGTTTGCGGATCAGGTCAAGACGGAAGATCAAGTTGAGAAACGCCTGCAGGAGATCTTTGACATGAACAAGAAGAGTTTTGAACTGCGTGAAAATCGAATGCTGGCCGTTCTTTACTGGTGTCCAAACAAGGAGGATGCGACAAAACCCGTGCTGGCTGGTTTCTGGTTTCTCCGAGCATACCCAGATGACCTCGAGGGTTTCCTTCTGGTTCTGGACAGTACGGTCGACGAAAGGAGCTTGGAAGCTGTCCTTCAGCGAAGCAGTGTCTTTCGGTTTGCAGAGACACCCACCAAAGAGGAAAAGTTGGCTGGCCGGACTCGAGGCCATGCGTAGCGCCTTGATATCCAGCAGTGGAATCAACAGCGATGCCGCAGGAGCTGGCAACGGCACAGAAGTTGGCTTTTCGTTCATGGTTTGTACCCAAAGAGCCTTTCTCAAGAGCGACGAGATTGCGTACTTGCGTGACCTAGAACCAGCACTTCCTTTGAACTTTGTGGAAAAGGTCATGCAAAGATCCCTCGGAGTGAGTAAATGCACGTTGGCATATGTGGCTTGCACTCGTGGCTTTGTTTATGGTGGTCCCTGCTAACCCATATGCCTGTGATCCTTATTTCCTGCAATGGGCGAGCAGATCATACCTCGAGAACGAAGGAACTTGCTGGTACTGTTTGCAATGCGCAGGGCTAACTACGAACGAGAACGTCGAAATCTTGAGCAAGCTTCCACATTGTTTGATGCAAGCGAAACGGCGTTTCAGGAGGGCGATGGCGTGGTTCTGGACGCCCCTGCCATGTTTCCCACCGAAAACTTTAAAAAGGGCGACGACAAGGAACATCACGGTGATTGGGTCTTTCTGCTTTTTGGGTACCAAGGCATGAAGAAACGCAGCCACAAGAAAAAGAAACACAGCCAAGCAGCCGAGGACGAGACACAAGCGGGTGCAAACACGGAGGGTCATTGGATATTTGACGACGACAGTATTGACGACTTTACTGGTATCCTATTAGAAGCCCCCCGAGACATCGAAGTACCTGTGGAAGCAGCTAACAGTTCCAAACACGAGGCAGGCTTGTACGCACAGGCAGCACACGACATTCAGCGCCGCCAAAGCCTTTGAGCACTTAAGCACGGAAGACCAGAGGCAGACTTTTGCTTTGTCGACATTCAGCAACTCTTTACCTACCGTATCGCGTATAGGTACAGCAGCCAGTTTCAACATGTGCGTCATACCGGCAGACTGCTGGTTGCCAGCAATAATCTATTGAGACACCTGGAAATTGTACAGCGCTCGGCTAAACGTTTTTCTACTCGCTGTCTATCACTTTCGGCAGCTCTTTCTGCATGCTGTCCCGATGCGGTGCTGCAAACGGCACCAAACCCATCCTCGAGGCCCGTTTCTAGCTTGATTGCATGCGTGTATACTATTGTTCCTACCAACTAGCGTTCCGCCCTACCTGAATCGAATCCCCCGTTATTGCTACGTTTCATTTTCTATGATTCAATGTCTAGGAATTCGTCTGGTTGAATATGTGAATCCGGGGTCTACCCCAGCGCCAACAACAACGATGGAAACATAAATCCTCAATACGCAATGGCTCATGCAATCACAAAGCAGCACTTTTTGGCGATTGAATCATCCAAACGAACTGAGAATGGAGACCACCAGCGGCATCATGAAATCCCATTCATAAAATGTGCTGCTTTGGACACTGCCGGTTGGTTCCTTTTCCCAGTTGGTGGGATCTCGAAGCGACGCATGCACGAGAATCACAGTGGTTGCAGTCCATACAATCCACCAAAAGACGCGCTGTAGAAGGTAGAATAGAACAAAGCAGGAAACCAAAACCGCGACCACGACTTTGGCAGATGCAACACCACGAAGAGAAAAAGTGAAATGATGGGGTGAGTGCAAACAACCGCTAACTATTAGGAATCCAGCCAACCATTCATTCCTTCAGGAGCTCACCTCCTCGTTTCAACTTTTGTTCGTCATGCTTGTTGCATTGGATGACTGGCCACCAAAGAATGGCAAGAGAACCCACCCCCAAAATGGCAGAGGGACTTATAAGGAGTGCCGAGAGGACAAAGTAGACGGTCAAGCGGAAATAGTTGACATAGAAAATGGCAAAGTTGGTTTGGATTCGAGGAACGAGCAACGCAGGGGAGCAAAGCCAGTTGCAGTTGCAGTTGCTCCTCCCGTCGCTTTCAGAGCCGGACCCCACGCAGCCACAGAAAACGTTCCAAGGGCGCAGATAGTCCGAACTCATAAAGTGGGGTTTCTGATTCGATTCATCCGTACTATATGTAGTATCCACTGTATCATCTGTAGTAAGTGTAAGTGTACCGGAAGTGTTGGCTTGACCTTCTTCCTCGTCATTGTTGGTGATTATAGCTAGATCGTCCTGATCCGCCAAGAGCGGGACACTGCGCGGTCAATGCAGCCCAGTACGCATAGTCGGTACCAGACGTGGACACAAACACGGTTGAGTGAGATTTTGGTGTTCAAGTACTACGGTACCGGTAGCTAGCTAGCTAGCTAGTTCCGTACCGCTGCCTTTCCATGAAGCCCCACCGTGTGAAATGAAAGGCGTCCGCTTACCCACTAGGACCATTGGGATCGGACGACTCTTTGTTGAGGGCTTCGAGGTCGGTCATGGTGGTACGATACTAGTGATCTTTGGATTGATTTCAACAATCATTCTTTGTGAGAAGAGCACAAGCTAGTGACAGATACTTTAGCCTGCAGAGCGTCGGAGACAGGAGGAAGTCTTCTTCGTTCCTAATTTTGATGCACTGCCAAGACAGCTTTAGAATGGAGGTAGATGCGGTAAATCAAATTCTTCATTCGAGGATTTTCCCACCTGTTTTCTAACTAACCAATAACTGTATCCCTATCTTTACCAATACTACCGGGCGGGTACGTGTCTTGCTGCGTGCGTGCAGCTTCGGGCACCTCGTGGAAGGTTCTCGTGAAACCCCAGACAAACACAATTGAGAAAGGCACTACTAGTATTAATAATCAGATTGATCATTCATCGTCTAATTTGAAAGTCTTCTCACTCTCCATTCGAATCCATAGTGACTTGTACCAATTGTTCAAAACCCTCTGTGTGGCAGCTTCTGGTGTTGGCACCATGTAGAACTTGTCCAGTCGACCAGCCTCAGATTTGCACCCAAACTGCCACCTGTCACCAACATCTTTGGATAATAATTTCTTGGCCATAGAGCAGAATATATTGGTCATGCTGGAAGTGTGATAAAACTTGGTAATCAAGTTGGAAGGAAAAGCATCATGAGAAGCATGGCCGATCTTCTTCACAATTTCAACCTTGTTCATTGACATTTGCCATCCTTGACACTCAAAAATATGAATATTACCCAATCGAACACTTTCAAAACTGGGGAATGTGGCATAGCACATGTAGTGCACAGCGCGGCACAATTCATCTCCTGATCTGGGATTCCTCATGACTTTGATGGTGGGATTGGCCGCATCCATCACCAAGGTACATTTGCCACTGTGCGGATCAAAATCATAGGACATGAAATAATTGGGCAAGAGTTCAGTCATTCTTTGAAGGGAGCGTTTGCCCTCTTCATACGTCAGTGCAATATTGTACTCTTGTCGCACTTCCTGCATTTTGTAGGCTCTATCAACAGCCCATTCAAGGCTACCCTTACCACTAATAGCCAAATTGACATACATAAAGTCAGAGAGATCATCCAAGTCTGGTAGATTTTCTATGGCATCCTTAATCTCAATGGCCCATTCTTTCTCTTGCTCCGATATTTTAAAGAGGCTAGGATCAATGGGTGGTTGTTCTATGCCCTCGGTTTTCTTTTTCTTACCCGAACATGTTCTACCTTTGTCACCATCATTGTCATTGGTTATCTTACAATTGCTCTGATCATCAGAGGCATGGCTGTTGTTGCCTGGAGGATCCACTGGATTGGGTTGCACTCGCTGCTCTTGCAATCCCCAATCGAGATCGATTGCAAGGTTTCCATTTCCATTGTCGTTGTCGTTGTTGTTGTTGTTGTTGTTGTTGTTGGCTGACTGCATGATACTAGCTAGCTAGCAGTACCTGGTACCAGGCAATAGTCAGGGGAGGGGGTATTTCTTGGTTGGCAAAGCGAAAGGATTTGATTTTGTGGGGAGCTCTTTTCGCTTGGTTGTTGGTGAAGTCTGACCGGTAAGCAGGTCCTGAAAATTTTTAATGTTGTACCACTAAAATGATGAGCGACGAGCACCCTTGATGGTTGAACGGTCAGGTCGGTGAAGAAGGGTAACGTTTACTCTTCGGATGTTCAGGAAAGCGTGACTTATATCCGACTAGCTACCAAATCAGTAGTTAGTCTAGTGGAGAAAGGCAGGAGGGAAAGATGATGACCCATCATCCGTAGAACACTTTTAATTAATTAATGAACTCTTTTATCACCACCACTGCTCCATGAGCAATAACTCACATCATCAGAAGTATTTTGAGTGGCTTTCTTAGTAGCACAGCTGTACCGGTATCACGTTGGTGCAGAAAGTCGGCTCTTGGAAGGACGGAGGGTCTTCGTTCGCAGCGGTACTCGTACGCCAGAACCGCCTCTTGCGCCTCGCCTCCACTCCAAACTACATGTACCAGGTACTCTGGCTACTAGCTAGCTCTACCTAGACTACCGTTAGCTCGTAGTCTAGCGTCTAGCGAGCCAGAGCTATCTACTACAGTAGTAAGGTACGGTGCCACCAGCCACCAGCATAGGGAGCGCTCCTATCCTTCGCACCCCACTGTGGGGAAGAGGAAAAGAGACCTTGTGCAGCACCGACGCATACCAGTACTAGCATAAGTTCCAGATATCATTCAATACTCTCCTCGCATTGCCTTAGATCTAGTTCATTGGACGTCGAGTTTTGGCTAGTTCTCGCACCAGTCGAGTGGATCTGGTGCAGCACCGGGAGATGAAGCTTCCACGGGGGTAGGAGTTGGAGCTGCTGAAGGTTGGGGGCTGGCAGTGGGAACGCCGGTTTCCCGCAAACCAAATTTCACAGTCAGGATATCAAGATACGTTTCTCCGTATGCTTCGTACACCAAGCCCCCGGTTAAGCTGTCGGGGAAAGAAGCAGCGCTTCCATAAACGGGATACACTTGGGTGTCGTCCAAAAAGTTGTTGAAGGAGTTGATCAGCAGCAAGTCCTCTAGTTCGGAATCCAATAAATGCTGGGCTGTCTCCAAAGAATATGCAAACAAGCTTCCCTCTTGCCCTGGTTCCTCAGCTAGTACTCGTGACAACGGAGTGGTTGCTTCCCCCGAAGCCCTATCGTTGTAACCTGGTAGCACCGTAGGTAGGAAGGAGCATCCTTCATTCCAGGCTGCAATGCGCCACTGTCTCTGCTGTTCGTAGTAAGCGTCCAACGTCGATTGTCGAGCCTCAAAATACTCGTCACCGTGATCTGCTGTCGTCGTATCATTCCACGAATCCATCATGTTGCCGTAGACGTTGATGTTTGCGATTCCATCCAGCCAAGAGAATGGCTCAAACGTATGAGTCTCGAGTGGAGCATCGCTCCAAGCAATGTCATCTCCCACAAGCAAGAGCTCCAGACTGAACTGATCAGACGCCACGGTTCGAATCGTCGTCACTAGCGAAGCCAGGACACCCGGTGACGATTTCAACTCATGGGTGAGCCCCAACATGACTACTGGTTTCCCGCTGGACGAGTGGTAATATGTACCTTCATCGGTCAGATAGTGCTCGCAAAGGTATTCAACATCACTGACAATCCATGGAGAAATGGCCAAGACATTGTGCTGTGGTTGTTGTTTGAAGCCCACAGGAGTACCGTCAATTGTAATTGTAGGCAAACGCGAACTCACGTGATAGTAGAGTATGAGTTTGTGATTGGTACTCTTCACCAAGTTGTGATTGAAAACCTCCATGAACTGTTGATTGGTGGAATGATCACGATGAAACCAAGGCATGACCCAAGCCGGAATATTGGATCTCCAAGAAAGCCAGAAATCATCACTGATCTTCTCTTCGTTGGTCATGGCATCCATTGCCTCTTGATGTAGTGGGGCCTGATTGAGACGGGCCCTCAGTCCCTGTTCATAGTTGCTGGGGAAGTAATACATGGCTGCAAGGGTGGGAATCGCATAGGGACGTCCAGTAAAATGGATTGGAAGCGATGTGGCTTTTTGGGACGGTGCCTTGGAAGCACCGATAGACTCCTGGCCAAAAATGTTGTCGGCATTGGATGCAGCAGCCGTGTAGTTGGCTAAAATATCCAGATACAGGGTGCCATAGCCTTGGTACTCCAAACCCTGCGTTAAATGAGCGGGCTCCTTGGCTGCCTTTCCATCGCAGGGTTCTATTTGCGTGTCCTCGTGCCACTCATTAAACGAGTTCACAAGGAGCAGGTTGTCAGCTCCTCGATCAACGAGATTGATGGCATGCCCGAGCTGTTCACGAAAGAGCGAGCCCTCTGGACTGTCAGCGGTAAGCCTTCGCGAGAGAGCTGGATGGTCGCGTTCAAATCTCACGGCACGATCGTTGTACCCTGGCGACACTGCAGGGACAAAGGAGGTGTTGAACTCAAGGGCGTGTCTCTTCCAGTCACGAGCATTCTCAAAGTACAAAGCAACTCGTGACGAACCTGCGTACGGAGCTGGCCTCCCCATGTTACCATACAAATCATAGTTCGTGATTCCATCCATCAATGGTAGAATAGATTCTTCCTGAGATGGCGATGGTGCTTCTCCCCACATGTGATCTCCAATAATGTACAGCTCGTGGTTTGCCCCACAGCCCCGGCGAATTCGATCGATTACCTGCGGTACAGCACATTTGTCTTCCAGTAGCCGCGTCAAGTAAACCACCACCACCGGTTTCCCCCCGATTTTATAGTAATTGGGATGGTCCACATAGAATCGACAGATGTGCTCAAAATCGTCAAAGATTCGTTGAAACGGATCGCTTGTGGGAGGTGCATTGTCATTGTCATTGTCATTGTTTCTGCTATTAATTTCGTTGAACCAAGCCATGGTTTCGTAGAGGATGGCAAGCTTGTGATTGTAATAGTCTGGTGCCGTTTGTGCCTGTCGTTCCAGTTCGGGTAGAATGACTTGCCGTAAAGTGGCATCTTCGGGACTGCTTTGTCCCCACCAAGAAGTGACCCACACTTTAATGTTGGCTTGTCGACTCCAAGCTAGATGTTGACGAATGACAGTGGGCTGTGTGTCATCGTATTCCCCTAGTCGTACTTCCTGGCGCGGTTGCAGTTCCCGGCGGAGATACCCGTCCTTGGCATCTTCAAAATGACGCTTGTGCCATGGATAGTAGTAGGCGCCTACCGTGATTTTGGCATTGCTGCTAGTGCTTTCATCGTCACCAGTGTTGGCGATTGGAGTATCGGTAGGTGTATCTGTCGGTTCATTATTAGGTTGTGAGGTTGGTTCTGACGTGGGAGCACCTGTGACTTGTCTGCTTGGTTTTGGGGTTGGTGTGTTTGTAGGCACTGTGGTTGGTTTTCGGGTGGGAGTTGGCCGTGGAACCCAAATCGAGATACTAATCCCGCTGTTGGAATTTGGTTGCGGAGTTCTATTGCTTGTGGGTTGTGGTGTGGCTGGGGCTCTGGTTGGACTTGTCGTAGGCGGTTGGTTTGGGTTGTCCGTTGGCTGAGGCGGAAGAGTGACGGTGATTTGGCCGGAAGCTTTGATGAAAAGCCCCAGCAAAACAGAGCTCATTGCAAACCATATAAGAAGACATCTTTGGGAAGTAAGCGGTTGGACACGAGACCAAGTAGGCATTCTGTAGAACCAGACCAACTTCAGCGACGGCGATCAAGTTTGTGAAGATTGGAACCGTGTTGAAGCTTCCACGGCGAGATTGCGTTCGTGACTCGACAGCTCTGCTGTCAGGTTGTCGCCGAAACTTTGAAAGGGGGCCCAAACCTTGCAAAACTCAAGCAAAAGCACCTCCAGCTAGCTAGCTACCGGCAGCCAAGTCCCTCAGGTAGCTTGTTCTTGCAAGAGAGCAGCTATGAATGGTGCTGTTGTCTTCGGGAGCAGGTGGTTGTGTGCCGGTACAGTAGAGGATACTCACTGTATTCCGACCAAATCAGCCTTGCCGCTTTATTGAAATGCCAACAACCTTCTAGCTAGTAGAGCAAGCTGGTTGTAGCTAGTGGCATAGTCTGCGAAACTCTATGAAATGGATTATCTTGTGAAGAGCTTGCTGATGGATGACAAGGAGCCTCGGGGTATATCAACAGAAGAAAGCGAGTTCAGTTGTTGCCTCTTCCTTGCTCTTCACCTTCGTCAACCAGCAACTCAGAGAATAATGAGGCCCACAGCACTTTCTCAAATTCCGCCTCATTTCCTAATCCCGGGTCCTTTCCGGGCTTGCGGGAAGCTAGCATCTGCACGTGACAACTTGAATGAAACATGTGATTGATCATTTATTTTGCAGTGGTATCACAGCTCTGTTGGTTGAATCCAGGGCCGCGACTGGAGCAGGACATGAGAAAAATCGGATGGTTTCCACTGTCACTCTGCTCGAGTGCGCTGTATCTCGCCAGAGTCGAGTCTCTGAGGACTGGAGGTTGGGTGGGGCATCTAATAACAATATGAGAAAGAGATCCTTGGACGTTCTCCCGTCGAGCGACTGTCTCCCAAGGACTCTGGCTAGCTAGCTAGCTAGTAGAGCTAGAACTTGCTTAGCTAGCTACAACCAGTCTCTGGCTGCTCAAGTGCCATTTGTTCCAAGTTTGTTTGCTTTGCTTCCAGCACTCAGTCTTCTTGCATGGATTACGCATACATAGGTTGCATGCCTCGAGTTTCACAATCGAACATAGATTATTCGATTCCGAATGGACGCCCTTTGATTGCTTTTACGGGCATGCCTGTAGCGCTTGAAGCGACATTTGCCACGATCTCTCGTTTCCGCTTATTCCCAGCGATATGGCCTGATGACTGAACCGTTGTCATCTGACTTTCAGGGTACCGTATCGTGGGAGGAAGTGTTCAATCCAGCAGAATCTCGTACTTTTGTCAGATTTGGAGACGGCAATTGTGGTGCATCTTTCAAAGTTGGTAGTTGATATCCGCCGACACGGGTTTGACTGCGGCTGATCATTGCGTCGACAGGTACCGGTAGGCACCAGCTAGTATGTTCAATGTATGCGGTGCCGGTCTGACGAAAAGTTGCAGCACTGACCTTACTTTTTGCATTGATGCTGTCCGTTAGCGGATACCCTTCCTTTGTGCAAGTCGCCGCTACAACCATTGCCAATGGAATCGTCAGAAACGTTGATTTTGTCAAGATCCATCCAGACTGGACAGGGGCGTGTGGACATGCAGCAAAACACTGGCCCTCTCGCACATCATGACGAAATGTATTCAATCCCTCCCTTCGGACTACGTACCTGACCTGTCACTCAAACCCACCCCTGAACTCGATCGATGCATGCATTCCAGGAAATCTCGTTGCTGGCTCAATTCTCACTATTGCGTACATGTACTCATCCAGCAGCTCTCGTGGCGCCCTTCCTTTCTGCTCTATAGGATAGTTTCGCCATGAAAACTCACAACATCAGTGGACACCGGTACGTACCGTATGCTCCCATCAAGCAAGCTCAACGAAAACGGGGCTACACCTTTATGTGATGGCTGGGGGCACCACAAGGACAACCTATGGTTTTGGCCTGACGAGCGATGGGGGTGGCAATTCAACAGGGCTCAAAAAGCTAGACACAGACTACCAAGCAGGTTCCAGCTCTATAGTGCCTTGGTGGCCGTTTTCCTTTTCCTTCTCATGTTGGACGGTGTCATTGCATGACGACGGCCGAGCTTGCACGACCATCTGTTCCGGTTTTAAAATGATGCCCCCCAAAACTGCACGTACGGTATGGTAGCGCACTGCACAGAGGGAACGGTGATCGATCCATGCCCATAAGCAGCCGCAAGCGCTTAAGCATTGCTTCTGCGGAGCCCACTGATGCTGCAGTAGTACCATGGACTATCTGTACTTTTGGACCCAGCTAGGTAGCTCAGTACGGTATCTACGGGAGGCAGCTATGGAGTGTTCCGGTTTCGATAGAGCTTGCCTGTGGACTACTAGCTTGTAGCTAGCTGTGCATAGCTTGCTACATGTACATGGAGCGATTGCCGTATTCTTATCACCTGGGCTGCCGTCCTGCCGTCGTGAAGCTTTCAGGCAGGGACTTGGCAAAAGAATGAATTGCAAGCCAGGGTTCAGGTTCAGCCCGAGCCTTCTTGACAATGTACAGAAGAGCTGGACGAGTACAGTCGTACAATGTCATGTGCGCATTCCGAGAGCCTCCCCGAGTATCCATCCAAAATTCTGGTGTATGCATAAGCTACCAGTCGGGCACTGCGGCGAGCACTTTCTACCCTACCGGTATCCATGCTTTATTCGCTCACACGCTGCTTCACGAAGACACAAAGCCTGAGCCCAGACACCAAGGCGCCACTGACCAAGTACATGTCCAACAACCAGTCTACTAGTCTTTTGGACCTACTAGCTAACCCCATCCGGTATGCATGGCTAGCTAGCATAGAGAGGCTGGGATGATACCATAGAGTGTTCCGGTTACCAGGTACTGGTAGGTACATGTATGAAGAGACGATACACCACCCATGGCCAACAAATGTCATTGCTGCTGGTATCTTTCTTTACTGTAGCTCATCGTGTCGTGCACTTTCCACTTTCTGCTCTACAAACTGTACAATCAGCTGTACAACGAACGTACTTAGAAGCTGCTCGAAAGAAGTTCCTACGAAGCACAAAGGGTTTAAAGATCACAGTTCCGGCAACACGTGGCTACGCCCGCTTCTCACAGGTTTAGGTCAGGATTTAAGAAGCCTCCAATCAGGGCGTATGTCGTTGAAGCACTTGATCTTGTCTCTTAACTCGTAAAGCTCTCGTAAAGTCACTTGTTGTAATTTTAGTGGGCAATTGTTACGCTGCAAATAAATCTTACCTATCTTCTCACTTAATAAGCAATGCTTGGAGGGGGGCTTGTGTCCTTAGCTTGTAATGTTACATCGCTTATGTGAAGCTCATGGTTCACGGATCAAGAACCATACCGTACCGGTACAGTAGAAGAAAAACTACGTACTCCTGTGCGAGTTCTCCACAGTGTTGCTTTCTTGTAAAACACGTGGCTGGGCAATGTTCCATTGTAATTGGAAACCGGGATAGCTTGGACGCAGTTTCAGTACAAATCCCACGTAAGATCTTTTGTTCCGGTTTTTACAGGTAGCGGCTGGTAGCTTCTCTACACAAATCCAAATCAATCCCAAGAATCGGTTGCCGAATTGGCCTCTCCCCCACCGCCTAGTAGCTAGCCAGCTATCGGCAGCGTTTGGTTGCTTTCGAGAGGCTGATGAACAGATCTGATCAATAGACTAGTCTCACAATCTCAACTTCCAAGAACTCAAAAAGCGAACTAACTAAATAGCTAGCCAGCCACGCACTATCGTTAAAATGTGCGCAACCACTCTCAAGCAAGAAATGAAGGACCATGGTCCTGATCGCTGCAAGCAACGAACGCTACGAAGCAGCATTGGTAAGAGTCTCCGAAAGCTCATTTCCCCCACAAGTTCTTCTACCAGCCAGGCTACCGTTAACGTATCCGCCAAGACTTTGGGATCCTCCAATGATTGGATGGCTACCGTGCCTCCTGAACTCACCGACATTTCTTCGAGTATGCGTTCCGGTATGAGCGACGTCTCAAGCTCATCAAGCTCCTCATCAGCGGCTGTCTGCAAGGACTTTTCTCGCTTTTCGTCGTCTACCAAAGACGAGTTGAACGTATCTTCCTCGACCAATGCCACATCTCGAACTCGCTTCAGCTTTTCCACGGCACGTGCCTCCAAGAACTCCATGGATATCTCAAGCGGTACTCAAAAGACACGCCGACGTGTCAACAAGCGTGCCATCCTCAAGCCCCGTGGAAAACCACCCGTTCCACGCCGTGTGTCCTTTTGCATTCGTGTGGAAAATGTCCCGAAAGTGGAGGCCAAGACAAAGAAGGACAATGCTGCCTCTGTGGAACTGTCTCTGCCCCTTTGGACATCCTCCTTGCCTCCCTTTTCGACATGCGCCATGATTGTGGGTTTGATTGCCTTGTTTGGGTGCAGTCTGCCGTCGTGGGAGTCCATCGATCAAGTGGCGACCGTGGAAACCTTTTCCCGCACCAACTTTGACGGAACTCCTCGGGCCGTCATTGTGATGGGCCGACTCATTTTAGCGGCTGTTATGTTGGGAAACGCGGCTTCGGTGTTTCTTTACGGACAATGGTACGCCGATACAGACTACTTTCCAGACTCCAAATTGACCGTGGCCAAGCGTATCCCCTTTCAAGGAGCACTCACCAAGGGGGGAACACTAGGGAGTGGCTTGAAGTGCATTGCGACATTTACCTTGTGGTGTTGGATTGTCGAAGGATCCGCCTTTTTCTTGGCTGGAATGATCCCGTTGGTGCACTGGGTCGCCCCCAATATCATCATTTCACCCTACACTCTGCGAACGGCTCTCATTCTATGGGAGACGGCCGCACCCGTTTCGATTCTGGTCAGTGCCGTCGTCAAGTACGCTCTCTGGCCCATGGCGCAACGGCACGGGGAAAACATCAAGCTTCTCAAGGCTACTGGGGCACTTTTGCAACACAATCTAAACACGGTGGCGGCACTTATCGAAGTTGGTCTACTGGGAGGCCTTCCGGTTTGCTGGAGTCACTTTGCCATTCCGCCACTCTATGGACTCGCCTACTTGCTATTCAGCTACAGCATGATGTACTCCTGGGCACCCGTCCGCAAGGGACCGCAATTCTTTTATCCATTCTTTGATACGACTCTTGGAGCCGGCACTACATCCCTGCTCTTGATCGCCTTGTTGGCAGTCCTTCTGGTCAGTTTTGTCTTTTTCTGTGGCGCTGCCACTCTTTTGACCGGGGGGGCAGAGATTCCAGTGGAAGCTGTGCCCTTTGCGGCCATCTTTTTGATTGTCATGACTGTCTGCCGAGTTCAAGATTAGGCGTCAACTTCCAACGTGCGTTCGTGTTCCCTTCAAAAATGAACACACGCACAAGTCCATCAATCCGTGCACCCATGACACATCATCCTTTCGATGTTGAGTCATTCAATTCTAGTTCATTATCTCTTTCATTTCCCAAACAAGCAACTTTAAAGCTTTCTCAACTAATAGACCAACAGAAAAATAAATAGCCTACTACATGAATACAATTTGCATGCCAAGTCTACCGGTATTCCCAGGATATTTTAGAGTACCTTGTCGCTTCTTAGTAATTGCTTCCATCATCATCATCCGTTTTGGTAGCTCACCCAACTTTTGCTGCATCATCTCGTGTAGACTAGCTAGCTAGTATCAGTAGCCTTCAAAGACAGCAACGTGGAAGGTGTACTTTGTGTAGTTGACAAGGATTCGGCCGTCGCCAGTTGTTGAAACACCGTGGCCAGCTTCAAGCTTGGAGCATAGGCCTGCGATGGCTTGTTGCTCAGCTTTGCTATGGGCAAAGAAAGGACCTGGGATTCCTTCACGCATCTCGAGAAACACGGGTACATTCATCGTACTAGTAACGTCACGCAACAAGAACTTTGGTCCGATTCCTATTGCGACCTCGATGACTGAAGAATCTTGTCGCAGTGTGTGATGCAAAAAGTTCAAAACGTCCTCCTGAAGGAGTTTGTCAGGCGTGAAGAAAACATCAAAGAAGCGTTTGAATCCTTTGGGGAAAGCATCCGCTTCAACATAGAAATAGCCGTTTTCAGCAAAGTCTGGCCCCCAACTATTCTTACACTTGAACGTAATCCTGCCTCCAAAGTCCTGGTGGAATCCAGTTATTACGACTGCGTGGCCCTCCTCTTCGTGAAGCTCAGGTGAAAAATCCTTTGGTCTATTGAATTGCTCAAAGTGGTTCTTCTGTAGCACTCCTTTTGGATTTCCCCGAAAGAATCCACCAAAAAGTCTCCACTGAAAGGCTGGGAGGTAGAAATAAGTCACAACTACACGACGAGCTCTCAAGGATTTCAGAACCTCATCTACAGAGGCTAGTTGACTCCATCCGAGGTCCTTTTCCTCGCAGAAGTACTCTAGCACAGCTTTTGGATTGCCACCTCCTCCAGGTTGTTCGAACTTGTCGACAATTCTCTTGACTAACATATCGTGTGGCTCGGGAGTCCTCCCAATGATGCGTCCTTCGACAGCTCGAATGGCCGTCGCACACGCCTGGGCGTAGCACGTTGGTGTGCGATGTTGATGATGCATGTCATCTGAGACTGGAGCGGTGATTATGCTTCTGTCATCGGCGACGGATGTGGGACCCTCGATGTCGCTGTAGTCGATGTCATGAGGTACTTTGTGTTCCTTCTTGTTGTGGAAATTTTTCCCGTCATATTTTTGCGCAAGAGCCTTGGTAGCACCATGGCCACACTTTTCTTCCAACTGCACCATTCGCAATTTACTCAAAAGATTGATTCAAGGAAGTACAGTCTGGTGCAGTATCGTAGTGCAATAGTAGTATGTACCAGGACTACGACGAGTTGCTAGGTGTTGAAATTTTCAAGGTCATTCACTCCAAAACCTGAGCCGCTGAGGCAAGCGCGACGTTGCCGT